GTTTACGTTTGTGCAAATATCTCCATAACTGCAGATGCGATTTTGTTGAAACTTTGCACACGTATCAATGACGTTGTCATAAATAACATATCAGTTTTTCAAAATATTCTCATCGCTGTGTCAAGTGTAATAGGTATTTTTCTACAACTTTTTTAATAACTTACAAAAAATACGATTTAATCTTATGTTTTCCAGTATAGTAAAAATTGGTCATTCACCTACATTTTCTCACAAATACGTGAATAAATAGTTTAATCCAAGTCAAAAGTAGGCTTCGTTTATTTATTTAACAATTTATAAGCAAACGCCAATTTTTTATTTAGTTTTTTGCTTATGTTTCCACTTTTTTTTCTGACAGTATCTTGAAAAAAAACGAAGAAAAAAAAGTTTTTTTTGTACACCGTGTATGAAAAATTAATATGGACATTTACAAAATCTTCGAAAAATTTTTGTCACAATATAACCTTTCAAAATTCGAAAACCAGTCATATGTCGAAAAGGAAGCTATATAGACCCAAAATAACTATTTTTATGCGTTTTCTAAAGGGGTACTACATGATAGATGTGCACAAATAAAGAGGAGTTAGACTATGCACGAACATAACCTCAATTTTTTGGTTTTCAGACTGTATCTTGAAAAGAACAAGTGTTGACGCTTAAAGTCAATCGAATTTTTGACTATCATACGCGGAGCAACTGCCACAAATTTTGCCATGGTTGATAGTAAAGGAAGGGGAAACTAAATAAACAGCAAGAACAAATTTCTTCACAAAACACAAAAGTTCGGCTGAGCCAAGCGTCTACTTATCGGTATACAGCGAGCAGGTATCTCAAGCATCGACGGAGACTTCTCCGTGCTCAATGTGTAGCACGTACATCAGGTATAATCGCCGAAGGTAAAAAATCGTGACCTCGAAGTTGTTGATGCTTGCCGTCCTCTATCGTCATACAGCAATGCGACTTCGCTTCGAGTATCCAATCAAATCAGCACCACGATAACGGTGCTCAACCAGTCGAGATCACATCCCAGAAAGACGGAAAAGGGCCAAGTTCCCAATGAATCCGAATTGAAAATAACTGCGCTGCGCTGCGCTGCGAGTATACATTTTAGTTACAACCCACAGTAAATGCACCGACACAACGATACGAAGAAAAAACGATTCCCCTCACTATCAACCACACTCTGCTACCAAAAATGTTGACGCTTTAAGTCAATCGAATTATTGACTATCATACGCGGAGCAACTGCCACAAATTTTGCCATGGTTGGTAGTAAAGGAAGAGAAAACTAAATAAACAGCAAGAACAAATTTCTTAACTTATGAAACAAAATTGACTTTATTTGTTTTTGTTTTACCTTTCGAAAGGTCTCGAATAATATCGTTGCCTGGCCGCTCGCAAAACACACTCCTATTATCTCTTCTTATAGTAAATTTACAAAATACCAGCGCTATGTTACTAATCTCGCTCTCAGATGTTGAGGTGAGACGAAGGCCTCGATTTGACGAAGAAAAAAACGATGTATTTGTCGGTGCCTCCAAAAGGCTGCTCGTTGCTGATGAAGTCCACGGCGGTTGATAAGTTGTAATCTTGTCGCTCTCTCGAATCTCCAAGTTTGAAGAAGAGTCGACTCCGTGGCTTGCCTGTCACTTGCTCTGGCCGAACAGAACGAAAAACCGAACTCGAATACGCCTCGCACCATCGACTACCTCAAGAAATTTTCCCCCACGCATAAGGAAAAGCGAGCTATCCTTGTCTAGCTAATACCGAAAAACACAAAAACTCACACGGAGAGAGCATACCTACTACTCAAATTACAAATTTACTCTCTACTCTTACAGCTCTCTCTCTTTTTCATACATCCGAACATACCGCCCGCCTTGTTGCGGCCAAGCAACAATCAAATTGGTTTTCTACTAATTCTAAAACACAATAAAAATTCAGCCTATTTCTTTATGACCATCGCTCAACTTGATTTAAAAATTCTTAAAATTTGAACAAATCTCTCCCACGATCTTTTGAACTCACACGCCACGTCTTAACCAATTAATAAAAAAAAAAAAGAATTTATCACTACAAAAAATANGAGGTGAGACGAAGGCCTCGATTTGACGAAGAAAAACCGATGTATTTGTCGGTGCCTTCAAAAGGCTGCTCGTTGCTGATGAAGTCCACGGCAATTGATAAGTTGTAGTCTTGTCGCTCTCTCAAATCTCCAAATTTGAAGAAGAGTCGACTCCGTGGCTTTCCAGTAGCTTGCTTCGGCCGAACAGAACGAAAAACCGAACTCGAATACGCCTCGCACCATTGACTACCTCAAGAAATTTTCTCTCACGCATAAAGAAAAGCGAGCTATCCTTGTCTAGTTAATACCTAACACACAGACTCACACGGAGAGAGCATACCTACTACTCAAATTACAAATTTACTCTCTACTCTTACAGCTCTCTCTCTCTCTCTCTCTCTCTCTCTCTCTCTCTCTCTCTCTCTTACTTATCCATCCGAACATACCGCCCGCCTTGTTGCGGCCAAGCAACAATCAAATTGGTTTTCTACTAATTCGAAAACACAATAAAAATTTAGCCAAATTCTTTATAACCTCGCTCAACTTGATTTAAAATTCTTAAAATTCGATCAAATCTCTCCCACGGTCTTTTGAACTTACACGCCACATCGTACCCAATTCATAAAAACAAAAAAAAATAAACAAATTCATTACTACAAAAAATAAATACTAAAGAGTGTGTTTTCAAAAGATCTTACAACAAATTTTTATACAATTAAAATTTTTGCTCTATAATTCGTCATAAAATTAATTAAAATTGACGCAGGATTTCCTAACAAATACATTTTTTCTACGCATTGCCTGGAGAGTTAACCAACACAACTGACTACCACCCGCCTTGCTCTAGCAACTTACTCCCATTTATTTGAGCAAGCGCGACCCCTAATTCCTGATCAACCGGCAATTTTATCAATTTAATGACTGGTCGCTTGAATTCTGAAGCCGCCGTCTTGACTCTTACCACTCTCACCAACCCATCAGAGCCAGGGAAACACTCAATCACTCGACCCAATGGCCATCGACCAGCAGGAGATTGCTCATCACTCAAAATCACTACGTCATCTACTTGCAAATTCTCCTTTTCCTTAAGCCATTTACTTCTCTGTTGAAATTGATTCAGGACTTTCTTGCGACAGCGAACCCAAAAAGAATTGCGCATATGAGTAAGCAGGTTCCAACGCCGTTACAAGGTCAACGTTCACCCGGATCAGAGCAGGACTCAAGAACGGACAGAGGTGCGGATCCAATCAAAAAATGACCCAGGGTCAATGCCACACTATCCTCACCCTGCGAGTTTAAAGGGCACAAAGGCCGAGAGTTCAGACAGGCCTCAATCTGTGCTGCCAAAGTCGAAAATTCCTCGAAAGTAAGCGAATTCTCGTACTTAAAGGATCGAACGGCTGCCTCCCACAGACCGCCAAAATGAGGCGCTCTGGGTGGAATGAATTCCCATACAATCCCTTGTTCTTCCAGTCGAGCCACAACATCATTCATTTCCTTGAACGCTCCGTTAAAACGGCTCTTAATTTCTCGTGAAGCGCCTCGAAACATGGTACCATTATGAGAGAAAATCCTAATACAAACACCTCTACGAGCAGTAAACCGATCAAACGCTGCAAGACATGCCTCAGAAGAAAGATCTGACACTACCTCGATGTGACAGCTCTCACAGTCATGCATACAAAGATCGCTACGTATCCCTTGACCGTTTTGGCCCCGCAACCCTTACAAAAGAGTATGGGAAAAGGTACAGCAAAATCAACTCCTGTAAAGGCAAACGCTCGAGTTCCATTTAATCGATAAGAAGGCAAAATACCCATTTTTTGTTCAACTACCTTACCAGCATGACGCGTACAAATCACACACTTCCTATAAACACTCCTGATCAGCTTTTTACCATGGACAATCCAACAAAAACGACCGAGATAACTTTGCATGAGCGCAACCCCACCGTGCACGGTAATCAAATGAAAATACTCAACTAAGCGTCGAACCAACAGCTCATCAGCCGGCAATATAACAGGATGCTTCTCTTCAAAAGTCAATACAGAGTTTTGAAGCCTTCCACCAACCTTCAGCACTCCGTCTTTATCAAGAAAGGGCGCCAAGTGCAACAAACGCGAGATCATTGGTAACGAGCGCTTTCTCTGCAAATGGTCAATTTCACGAGCAAAATGATGGCTCTGTATAAGTCCATAAAAGGAGACACGTGCCGCCTGCCAAGCCCAGGTTCGCGAAGCAACGGTACTCACATTTGCACTCGATATTCGCAGCCCAAGTCGCCACCGAAACATTACCACTAGCACTCCAAAATCTTTGAATACTTTGATATTTGCCTCAACTTAGTAAGTGTTTCAGATTCTACTTTACCCGAACTCTCTTTTACTTCGTTAGCCACAAGAGATGCCACGGCCTGGGAACCCTCTATGGATGCCGCCGACAGAGATGGAGGAATATCATCACCCAGCCACGCAGGGCCATGCCACCATAATTCACTGAGAGCTAGGCGCGATGGTGTAACTCCTCGAGTAGCAATATCCGCAGGATTGTCGGCAGACCTCACGTGACTCCATGTGACACGAGGAAAACGAGTTAATACCTCACTAACACGATTGGCAACAAAAACAGGCCAACGCAATGGATGACTTTTCAACCAGTCCAATACAACCTGGGAGTCGCTCCAATCACTCAACTGATTCAATGAATCACGAAATGCCAACCAACGCCTCTCTCAGTCAGCTGGAAGAGCTACATCCCAATCTTATTTTTCAATCCACATATCTTGCATTAATATTTTTGGCACGGCAATTACAGGAGCTAAGAAACCAAGAGGATCGAATAAACGTGCAGTCTCCGATAAAACAAGCCTTTTCGTGATCTTAACAGAAAGAGTAGGAAGATTAATCTTAAAACGAAATTCATCTTCATTTGGACTCTACTTCAATCCTAAAGCTGAAACAATCTCATCGATAATCGATATCTACAGAAACCTCCTCCTCTGACAAGCCCTCAATTCCTTCCAATAGTTCAACTGTATTCGATGCTCATTTACCGAGCTGCATACCAGCACCAGCCAACAACAAAACCAACTGATCACGCCGAAGAGTTGCCTCCCCCAAAGTATCAGCACCCACAAATATATCATTCACATACACCTGTGACTGAAGAATAGCAGCCGCCTTAGGATGCATTGATTTACCCTTCTCAGCCAACTGCAACAAGGTACGAATCGCTAAAAATGGAGCAGGAGCAGTACCATAAGTCACCGTTGACAATTGATACTCTTGTATGGATTCGGACCTGTTGGAACGCCAAAGGATATTCTGCCATCTCCGATCCTCAGGATGTACGAGAATTTGACGAAACATTTTTACTATGTTTGCGGTAAAAACAAACCTAAAAAAACGCCAACGAGTAATCAACACCGCTATCTCCACCTGCAAGTTTGGTCCGGAATGTAGAAGACGAAGCGATAAACCGTTAGAGCAACTTTGCGACGCATTACGGCTTCGAAAAGTTGTTTAAAACTCTCCCAGTCCTCCTGTCAACCAGAGAACATGGGAAGCGAAAGCGAAGGCAAGTTTGAAACGGAAATCGTTACTAGACTAGGCTCAATATTAAGGCTCAAATGACCCGGAGGCATTGACTTCGCATTATTAAGTGCACGAATTTTTGCTGCCAACAACGAACGAGCATCAAGATATGCAGTTTCCGTCCGTGCATTACCGTCCTGACGAAAATAATCATGATCCATTAATTGATCCTCATACTCCATAAGTGACAAAATCTTTGAAAAATTTTTGTTACAACACAACCTCCCAAAACTAGAAAAACAGTCGTATCTCGAAAAGGAAGCCAGATAGGACAAAAATAATTCCACTTATAGAAAATAATCATTGAGGTGCAAAAATACGTTACACGGATTCATACAAATAATCTTTATAAATCTGAAAATAATGGTACATCTCAAAAGCAAAGCTACAACCTTCATATCCTACCTATGAATTGATTTATTTTCTGATCTCTATAATGTATTATAAGAAAAATTGTCACGTGACCAAAACCTGTATTCTTTTCATTAATTCTAAAATTGGTAGAAATTAGTTAAGCACGGGTGAATTTCAATATTAAATTATAAATTATTATAGAAACGAATGAAATGAAAAATTACAATTTTACAATAGAAAATAGCTAAATGCCTATTGTATTATTTAATCTCAATAAGATATAGTGGATTATTTTACTTTTGTGGTAGCCAAAATTATAAAAAATTTTCATTTGTCTGATACAAAGATTCCAACAAGAATTTATTGTACACATATGATGTTATATCAAATGCACGAATATTAATTTTAAATAAAAGGAATTTATGTCCTGTGTAATGGGACAAAAATACCCTCTTTCGGCGCAGTATAGTGAGAATTTTTGTTTTATTCTGCATTACATGACTAACAATTCGTACACGTATTACTTAAAATTCTCGAATCATAACATTAGTTACGGGGAAAACCATAGGAAAAATTATATTACTTTTAGTACAAAATTACGATGATGTAGAAATTATTTTCCATGTTCATGCATGCACATAACTTCCAAATATTGGAAAATATACCATATCTTTAAAAGAAAGCAAAATACACAAAAAATAACGACTTTTACAGGCATCCTAAAGCGAAAAAAAAGATATCGTGGCACACAAATAGAGAGGTGTTGAGTTGTGAGATGAAATAACTCTAAATTTCAGTGTTTTTGATACTTTTTTATAATATAAAGGTGCAAAATTTTAAGAAAAATTATAGTATATTTGTTAAATTATTACACATATGTAGAATATATTTTCCGTTTTTTGCCTGGAATCGACTATGAAAATGATTGAAAAAACGCAAAACCGCTAACTGAAAAATGATTGACCAAATATAACTTATTACATGTGTGCACGAGTATGTGCAATTTCAATAAGCAATTTTATTGTCTATGAGCATTATGCCAATGTACTTATCACAATACTGGACCATTATAGTAACAGTTCAAGTACTATATACGTTGTGAAACCCACATTAATGAATATGATTATAAAAAGATTATTTTATTTTGTGTTCAGATTCGTTTTTTTTAATGGTGCCAATTCTGAATTATTTCCAACCCCTCACTATTTTAATTACAAACTCTTGCTCTCTCTGTTGATTCATATGTAATTTGATTATTTTCGAAGTTCTCACTTTTGCGGTACGTCCTGCGACGCACCCATTTTTTTTTTATTTGTTATTACTAAAATTAAACACAATGTTCTAATCAAAGCGAAATGTTGATAAATTGACTGTGAAGTTTTTAATAATACTTCAAAATTTCACTCTTAAAAATTAATCAACAAGAAACTAACAATTATTTTGCAATTTTACAAATACCTAGTTGTTATTTAACTGAATATCTATATTTTTACATGGTTACATTCAATTTAACATGATAGTCTTTTTTTTACGTCGATCGAAAGTTTTTCGGTATAAAAAATTTTTTCCCGCACTTTCTCGCAGTTAATGTGTTATTAACAATTAATAATGTACCTGCAAAAATGTCTATTTTAAAATAAATTTGATGACGAAGAGATTGGCGGCAAAAAGACATAAGCAAAAATCTAAATAACAAATTGGCGTTTGTTTATAAATTGTTAAATAAATAAATGAAGGCAACTCTTGATTTGAATAAAACTATTTGTTCCCGTATTTGTGAGAAAATTTTGTAGGAGAATGACCAATTTTTTCTTACTGAAAAACAAAAGACTCAAAAACCCTTCGGGCCATGGACTATCAAAGCCTTACCTTTGTGGGTCTTTTTTGTTTTTCGTTAAAAAAAGCATAAAACTAATAATTATAATTAAAAAGTATTTAAAGTAAGGAAGTCGGTAAGGTAGATACTCTCGATTATAAATTAAACGCCTTTAACTACGACTGACAGCGACTTAATTATCAACGAATATACGTTTGTTGTTAACATAAAACGTTCGATTATAATAAATACATCACTTAGTAATTTGAAGTTATCATTTTTATCAGTTATTTTATGACTGAAATCATAACTGTAAAGTTGTTGTATAAGTATTCGCTGGGTGCATAGAGTGAGTATAAGGGAGCGTGGCTGAGGACGCCATTGTGTGGACCGCATAGTGAGAGAATCAGTGGAGAGGAAAACACAGATTTAAACGCATATATATAAATATATCCGCTTGGCTTGTTTTCCCAATTAGTCCTCAAAATAGCGGAATCTATTAGTGACTATTAGACACTTCAGCTACACTCCCTTATACCTACTCTCTGGGTGGATAGCACGCAGTGCCTCTAGTACAGCCTCGAAATAGTGTCACTCGGGTGCCAATATGTGCAGACGACAGACGACAGCTGAGAGGGAAAACTTAAAAAACTTTGCAGGGCAGGACAGTTTTGAGGTTACGTGCCAAGTTTATGTACATACACACGTTGATGGCATCGTCTACAAGCTTCGGCACCCGAGTTGCACTAAATGCTCACCATGGGCGCTTAGATCGTTTTACCCAACCACCAGGACCCAGCGAATAGAAAACACGAACTTTCTACAGCATGCAAAAAAATGTATGAATTTACGGGTGATATCTAATAGCTAGGGTAAAAAAGTTGATTAGAATGATACGTATCACTTAAAAATCAATAAATAATAATGACACTAAGTAACAATAATAGTAATGTAAATAAAATAAGATGTAGAAGAAAATTTTGGCCTACTTTGGATAACTTCTTTAAATACAATGTATTCGTCTTGATTTGTATCTTCAGAGTCAAGAGGCGTGGTGTAGCTTTCAAGTGCAGTTTCTTCGTTTGCTTTATATTCAGAATCATCATCCTCATCATCCGAAGCGGTAGGTTTTATCGACGTTGAAATGCCAAACATTTGCTGACCTCGAACTTTCGTCACTTTTTCTTCAAGTTTTTCTAAGTAATCTTGACTAGCGTCATCGATTTCATCTTCATCAGATGATAAGACTGTAAGAGAAAAATGTGTCTGTTAATTGTGATGAAAAACATCCAAAACCAATTTTTGTAGAGTTGTCTGTAAGCACCCTCTTCATAATCGCTTTCATCATCGTCATTATCCTCATCATCGCTCTCCGCAACTTTAGCTGCATATGCTCGTTTGAGGCCATCAAAGAGTAGAAGTAAGGATGGAATAATTTGTAGTACACACTCATTGACTGCTGTAGGTCTACAAGGGCCCATGCTTATAACAGTGCACAAACCGAGGACACAAAGTTTTCGATCGTGTAAGCTGTAGAAAAAAGAAAAACAATCATGTTTGATAATTGTTTGCGACCTCGTTCAAGAAGTACGATTGCAATAAATAATTAAATTGTCTCAGTTATTTCTACCCTGATTAAATTTAAAATTTAGATTTAAAGTGACAATGAGGGTAATTCCACCGCCAGGCAGCGGTAGTATGCCCATCTAAGAAAGTGCACAAAAATTTAAAGGCTTTTATAAATTTCCGCTGAAATTACACACTTAAATATAAATTAACAATTGTTTTACAAATCCATTATAAGAAAATAATGTATAAAAATATTTTCTACACACATTAATATCATTAACATCGTATGTAAATGTATATTAGTACATCCTCTTCAAAAATGTATACGTATATCGATGTGTATGAACAAACTATTTCCTTCATTAAAATGAATCTTTAGCCATAAAAAAAGATAAAATTTTTATAGTTAACCTTTTTTTTTTTTTTTTTTTTTTTTTTTTCCCCTTTTCGTGCANTTGTAAAAGTTTATAACAAAATTATTTTTGTACCTTCCAACACGTAATTTTAATAATAAATGTTTGGAACTTTTGGATTTTAGCGCACTTTTTTACATGGACACACTGTCGCTGTCTATCCATAGAATTATCCTCATAACATTTGACCCAATAGATAACATTTTAAGGTAAACAAAAGATTCGTTTAACCTCCCAAAACGTACCTATACTCTACCATTAACGCTTTGGTTGATTTTCTTACCCCCTTTAACTACATTTTCATGGCGAATACAATGAAATTTGAAAGTGATTTTAGACTTTAGTTATTATTCTTGTAATTGCGTAGGCACCTAAGTAGCGTGAGAAACTATACCAAACGAATGAAATACAAATTTGATTGCTCTTTTCATAAACACACGGAAAAGAGTGGTGAAATGTAGCGTATTACGTGCATCTGTGATAAAAAAAATTATGTGTAGTAACAATTGGTCAAGTGGAACCTTAATTATAATTATTTATGTCCACAAAACACCTATATTAGAGGAAGTTGAGTTAAGTTGAGTTTGTTCAATTCGATAATGAACTCAAGATCCTACACACCGAGGCATATCACAGGCAGGCTACAGATTATTTGGCCATCACATAGGCATTACATTAAAAAAGTAAGTAGTATACAGAAGTATGAAAATTAATGTACCACATGAAAAAAAACAAAGAAACACAAGAGTAATCAAAAAACATTTTGTATGTGTGTGTACGTGTGAGTGTGTGTGTATAAATAAAAAAAATAAAAACAAAGCAGCATGTCATGAGCAGATAAATACAGGAGTTATGCAGGACAAAGGGTTTTCTAAATTAGATACCTATACAGGCGCACTTTAAAGCATGACTGATCAAAGCGTTAGCGCAAGTCATGCGGGAGGTCATTGCGTAGTCGCGGAATAGCAATGTTGAAGGACAAAGCACTGAGTATCCTGTACAGAAGGGTGATGTGCTCAGACCGTCTAACATCTTGCGAGAGACGGCATCACGGCATCTACAAAATATATGGTACAACAATGATCACTGGTCATACATTAAATTGTGCAATGTACAAAGTGGTAACCGTATAACAGACATATCGCATGTTCTGCACATTTACTCTACGCATAATTAACAAATACGATGAGTAAACCAGGATCTAATCCATGATAAGTTTACTGTAGTTTGTGAGGATTGGAATCCTTCAGGACGGTTAAATGATAGTTCCAACTACGATGATTTAATGTTGTCACAAAATTACAAATACTTTATTAGATACCCTTTACAATTTTAGAAAATAATTGAATCTCATGGGCTACATACAGTTTAAAATCGCGTTATTCGCTGAAATTTTATACAGAGTTTTTCGGGCGTCAGCCACTCTCGGTGATGTACAGAGACTCAATAACCAAACAATAATTTTTAAATGAAAGAACGGGCTAATCAAGCCCTACAGTTTCGTGGAAGTGTCACGACTTCGAAATAAAATAACATAAAAAGGACTATCTTACAACCTAACTTAATAATAATATGAGGGGCCTAAAATTCTATCAGTATCAATACCGCCAGCGATGCTTTCACGAAACGCACCCTATGCCTAAAAGCGAAGTGTATCAACCGTCGATCTATTTTATGCTCGCTTGGGAGCGTGTGCTCTCGTGTCAATTTAAATCTATAAACCGTTTTCTCGTATTTTTATTATATACTGGCGGACCCCCCCTCCTCCCCATCTTGGCTTCGCCCAACACTCACTAAATGAAACACCGTAGTGCGTTAACATGTAATGTGAAACGTTTTCAGTGAAAAATTATTTATCTAGTTCTGACACTTCTCACGACAAAAATCTTCTTATCAAATGTGTATTGGTTCGGAATCCATACAGTTTATTTGGCCAAAAAATAGGCTGTAAAAATTAAAAAAAAATATAATTATGCTGAAAAGTACTGTGCATTCCTTATGACATAAAATAATCATTGGGCATAAGGGGCCGTTGATTTGCAGTTTTTCCCGTATAAATTACGAAAAGGGCTATTTTTTAAAGTTGTAAAGATTTAAAGTTCACAAAAAATTCATCATTAAAAAATTTTTTTCTTTTATCTCACAACTTTATTACCAGAGCAACAAAGTCCTGGAGCTTAATCTCTACGTTATTAATCGCAACAAAAATACAAAAACATATTCTACCTATTTAAAAATCTGAAGGATTCAAGAGATTACTATGAAGGTCATAGTGAAAAGTTGATCTCTCACTTAATAAATTCTTTCGTCATTTTCTTGACGCCTAAAATTGTATTCATAAAATGCATTTAAAGTTTTCCTTCTAATTCGACTTCTTGTGACTTTTGGCATAGTTGAGACTCTTGTGAGCCCTAAAGCCTGTTTTTTCAACTTTATTAGGTTGTAATATATTTGTTGGCAAGGTAGTTTGACGTTGGATGAATCTGAAAAGGACCGGTGAGCTCCTCAAGTAAAGTCTTTCTTGACGGAAGTTTCCAGAAAACGTAACTGCCTGGATACATCAGGGTTTGAAGCTTTGGAGCTAGTTGTAGAGCTCTTTCCCAACGTCTCCTGGTGTAACGTCAAAGACGGTGTCTAAAGCACCTTTTTTTTCAGACTCAGTTTTCGTTATCTATGGTGAAAAGGTTGGTTCGTAATGCTTGCCCGTTGGTAACTGTTCCGTTGGGTCACGTTTATTATTTTTTCTTATAGCTGTTATAGGTTTGCCCAGCGCAGACCTTGGAGAGGATCGGTGATTCCTGGTTGAATGCTTAAAGTTTAGAGGGTAATATAGGGTCGTCGGTCACCAGGGTTCCCTGCCTTGCTACGAACAACTCTGCTCGTGACGCATGCCAGTGAATGACTGACTTGGTTTAATAGTGGCCGGCTTTACTTGGTCTTTGAATTGACGAATCGTCTCCGGAAATAGTAGTAAAAATGCATGGCATGGTAATTTAAACTTAGGTGACCCTTAAAAGAACCGATGAGATTGATGGTTAAGTAGGGAACGTAAATACTTCTAATGGCCCTGAAAAGGAGCGGTGGTGAAACTTGTAGCTATTCCTTATTATTATACTTGATGAAGAGCCAGCTGCAGGTAGCTTGGCGCTTATCCTTTGAGTCTCTGTGTACGGAGACCATACAGGAAGGGAAGTACGCCGCTGACAAAGAATATCTCGTCTTCAGGTCGTTCCCTAAATAACCAAACATTCATCGGTAGTCAGAAAAGTGAGCCTGGAGAATACCTTCTTTGTAGATATGCCGTTGGAACGACCACTAAGGAGGCCAGGCTTCCTGTACTCTTCATTGCTATCTTCCCTGGCTCGCATTTGAAGTAGAAAATTTTCTGACAGCACTAGGTCGGATGGTTGAACGGCCACAAAGCTCTTAAGTGCTGGAGCAGGTTGTGCTCTGGCTAGAAACGTTTTTTGGTATTCCACCGGAGACATTGACAATCCAAACACCTGTTTCGTCATGGCACTTGTTTATTTTGGGGATCGGGGGTAAAAACCGATTTATTTCGCTTGCCCATGAAAAAGAGTGTCTTCAGTAGCCACGATGCCCAGATGCACGACGGACTCCTCTGTTCTTGGTTTGGTGCCGATAATTGACTGCGATGATTGTCTACTCTATGGGGCTTCTTATAACCACTCTTCACTATCTTCGGGTAGCTTCAATTTTCGTTCAATTAAGCGCCCCTCTTAGCACTAGCTCCTTACCCCGCATATTTACTTTGCTGTGTTGCTATGCATGATTCGTTACAAGTTGACTAGCAATGATCGTTGTACCAACAACCCATTACCAAATTCAAACAATATGTAAACCAGAGTTGGTTGGGTCTAACCATTAAGTAATTAAATCATTACTTTGTAGGAGCAGACTGATGCATGCTTCACGATGATGTAAGTAGGTCGAGAGCGATAAAAACAGGTGTTACAAACATCTTCTGTATACACTAATAGCCATTGTAAACAAAGCCGGTAAGGCATAACGTGAGCCGTTCTGGGGGTATTATTTTCAAAGACGGAGCGAATACAAGCATTTAGAGTTCTTTAAAGCTTGTAGTTTTTGGAATCATCCAGGATGCAGTACACAGTGTAAGCATCATCCAAATCGGGAAAAATCAGGCTTTCACCCAGTTATTCTAGTGGGATCAAATTACGTTTTAGATAATGGAAATTCAGACTAGCTCGAAAAAAATATGTTGTAATGAATTAAACAATGCCAATCGTTTGTAATAAAATCGAACATAAAATATTTTCTGCTTAGGCTTAAAAAAATGGTAAAACATAATTTTAAGCGTCGGAAACGAACAATAAGCCTTAAAAAAAAAAAAATATAGAAGCATGCGTGGCAAAAAGTTTAACAAAATAAGCTCCGGTCGATCCCAATCGGTCTAGTAGTTTCCCCGCAAAATGCAAAAAATCTTGTTTTTTGAGCCAACATTGAAAAATTAATAACTCTCTTTCGCATAAACATTTAGAGCTGAAATTTGACAGAGTTGTAGCT